ATATATTCATTCATTCTGTTAATAAATAACGCTTCTTATTGTTTTAAAATTCGATAATAATCATTTTAGGGATGCGACGGTTTTACGCCATGACCGTTTAAAAATAGAATAATACGCCATTTTTGGGGCCGAATGGCGGGTACGAAGTAGCCGCCATTCGGCCGAAAGACAAAAAAATATAAAATTATCGCCGCCCTTTTTTTTCTTTCTCTTTTCTCTTTTTTCCCCTCTTTCTCTTTTTCACTCATTAAAAGTAGTAAGAGAAAAAAATAATATTAATTTTTAAAATTTTTATAAAAATAAAAGAAAGTATTATAAGAAATTATTTAGAGATTTATATGGAAAGTGTTAAGAATAATCTGAGGAGTAGTCTGATGATAGTCTGAGGAGTAGTCTGAGGATAATCTGAGGACTAGTCTGAGGAGTAGTCTGAGGATAATCTGAGGAGTAGTTCGAGAATAATCTGAGGAGTAGTTCGAGAATAATCTGAGGAGTAGTCTGAGGACTAGTCTGAGGATAATCTGAGGACTAGTCTGAGGATAATCTGAGGACTAGTCTGAGGAGTAGTCTGAGGAGTAGTTCGAGGATAATCTGAGGAGTAGTTCGAGGATAATCTGAGGAGTAGTTTGAGGACTAGTCTGAGGAGTAGTCTGAGGATAATCTGAGGAATAGTCTGAGGACTAGTCTGAGGATAATCTGAGGATAATCTGAGGAGTAGTCTGAGGATAATCTGAAGACTAGTCTGAGGATAATCTGAGGACTAGTCTGAGGAGTAGTCTGAGGATAATCTGAGGAGTAGTTCGAGGATAATCTGAGGAGTAGTCTGAGGATAATCTGAGGATAATCTGAGGACTAGTCTGAGGATAATCTGAGGACTAGTCTGAGGATAATCTGAGGACTAGTCTGATGAGTAGTCTGAGGACTAGTCTGAGGATAATCTGAGGATAATCTGAGGATAATCTGAGGACTAGTCTGAGGATAATCTGAGGACTAGTCTGAGGATAATCTGAGGACTAGTCTGATGAGTAGTCTGAGGACTAGTCTGAGGATAATCTGAGGAGTAGTCTGAGGAGTAGTCTGAGGATAATCTGAGGATAATCTGAGGAGTAGTCTGAGGATAATCTGAGGACTAGTCTGAGGATAATCTGAGGACTAGTCTGAGGATAATCTGAGGATAATCTGAAGACTAGTCTGAGGATAATCTGAGGATAATCTGAGGAGTAGTCTGAGGATAATCTGAGGATAATCTGAGGAGTAGTCTGAGGATAATCTGAGGATAATCTGAGGAGTAGTCTGAGGATAATCTGAGGATAATCTGAGGATAATCTGAGGACTAGTCTGAGGATAATCTGAGGATAATCTGAGGATAATCTGAGGAGTAGTCTGAGGATAATCTGAGGAATAGTCTGAGGACTAGTCTGAGGATAATCTGAGGACTAGTCTGAGGATAATCTGAGGATAATCTGAGGATAATCTGAGGAGTAGTCTGAGGACTAGTCTGAGGATAATCTGAAGACTAGTCTGAGGATAATCTGAGGATAATCTGAGGAGGATTAATCTAAGGAGGACTAATCAAAGGAGAAATACTCTAAGGTAGAGCAGTTGGATCACTACTCAACCACAATTTACTTTTAACCATTTTTTGAATTCCTATTCAAAATAAAAACGCATTTTTATATAATTCTCTTATTTATTTTAATTTGATAATATTGTTGCATGCTAAGTAGTGTCAACGATAGAAATTGAGAGCCTATTAATCGTCGAGGAAGTACGATTATTTTTTGAAAAAAAAGTATCTTAAAATATGATTATTAATATGTTTTTAAAATAAAAAATTTGAAAGTTAATTTGAGATTCTCATATAATTTTTTGAATGAAAAAAATAAATATAGTCTATATGAGTTTTTGAATAATCACACTTGAGATATATCTAAAAAATAATTAAAAATAGAGTTTGAGAAGACTTTTCAAGGTGTAATGAAAAGTGTGATATAGAAAATAATTATAATAGATATTTAATTTTATATATTGCTAAGCATTAATTAAATTTTTTAGGAAAAACACTTTTCAATAAGTATTCAATATTTGAAAATACGCTCCAAAAAAATAGATTCTTTTATATTCGCTTATATAAAAGGAGACTCTCTATCAGATGCGAATGCCTGAATTCAGCACCTCTGATAGAGAGTTTTCCTCTTATATAAGCAAATCTTTTTCATTCGTTTTGTTAATAATAAAAAACATCAAAAGCTACAAATGAGAAAATTAAACCCTGCGAGGCAGCCAGTCTAGAACTGGCACTTCGCAGGGTTGAATTTCTCTTGACAAAATACAATAATCAAATGCTCCAAAGTTTTCAAATTTTATTACAGGAATAGGAGCCTACAAAGCACTGATTATATATCAGTGCCTGGTAGGCTCCTATTCCTTCTCTAAATGGGAGAAACTTTGTTTGAATAAGATAACATGCGAACAAAGTTTCTCCCATTTAGAGTGGGATTTGGAGGGTGGGAGGTACATAGATAGACTATGTATCTCTCACCCTCCAATTCCCTCGGGAAAGTTCGAAAACTTTGGTGCAATCGTTGCTGATTGCACCAAAGTTTTTGCGTTTAATTGAAGGAATTGCTCTTTATGATATATACAGTTACAATGCATATATCATAAGGAGCAATTCCTTCCAGATATCTGGCAAACCTGCTCGCAATGGTTCACAATTGCGAACAAGTTTTGTCATTTGTCAAGAGAAATTAAACCCTGCGAAGCGCCAGTTCTAGACTGGCACCTCGCAGGGTTTAATTTCTCATATTGGTAGCTTTTTATGTTTTTATATTAACAATAACTCATGAAAAAGATCCGCTTATATAAAAGGAAACTCTCTATCAGAGGTGCTGAATTCATGCATTCGCATCTGATAGAGAGTTTCCTTTTATATAAGCAAATATAAGAGAATCTATTTTTTGGACCGTATTCTCAAATATTGAATACTTATGAAAAGTGTTTTTTTCTAAAAATCTCAGAATATATTTACAATAGTAAAATAAATAAGATATTTAAATTTATTTTTAAATGCTTTTTTTATATGAGATTCTCAAAAGTTATATCAAAAGTCTGTTTTTTCTAAAATCTAATATCATAATCTATTTCTCATTTTAAGTACATCTTAATTCATTTTATTTTCTATATTTTTTCAATATTTTTGAGGGAATTGTGTTGCTTCCCCGACGATAAAATTGAGAGGTTTACACAGTGACACTACTTAGCATGCAACAATATTTATTGATTATATTTCAGATCACTCAATTAAAAAAAGCCGTCTTTCTTTCAAAATTTCTGAATTATTATCCTTTCAATTTTAATGAATAAAATCATATTTATTCTTCTTTAAAACACTTCATTTCTTTAATTGTAGTGTTGCTTACTGCAACACTTAAACCACTTGTGGATTCCATTGAATGGCCTTCAATGGAATTCACAATTGGTTTAAAATTAGTTGATGCATATCCTATGTATGGTCCTAATATGGTCTGGCCAACCATATTCTAGTTGGAAATACATAGGATAGTATCACTAATCAATACAATACATAACAAAGTTAAATGCGAAAACAAACAAATTACAAAATCGTTCAAAACGAAGAATGAATACAAAAACACTTATGCACTGAGGCTGGCCACCTCAGTGCATTTCGAATAAACATACAAGTATAATCAATTTAAAAAAAATATTTTATAATTTTTACAAAGACAAGAGCAACTATGTTTTCCAACTAGCTCCCTTCATGATCTTTAGCCTAGCGTCCATTAATTCCTTACTCATGTTTAAATTTGAACAAGTTAAGATGAGACGCTGGGCTGAGATTGTTCTTTCACAGCTTGCCTCCGCACAAGTGCAGCAAGTTATGCGGAGGCATATATTTGCGAACAATCCCCAATTTTCATCATTGATTTTAAAATTAAAATCAAAAATGTCCAAGCCACTTACAGTTCTTGATGTTTTAAAGATATGATTGTTATTGGCAATCATATCTTTAAATAGTTTAACTATATCATCAATCACATCATCACTACGTCCTCTTTTTTTAGTTCGCTTGTGAACCAGCTAATTGCAGCATCAACCATCGGAGAATCACAGAGCTCTTCACCCTCAGTATCATCATTACTCCTCATGAACTTCTTCCTGCTCATGAAGATCTTCATTGAATCTATTAAGATCCTGGGCTGGCCAATTGTGCTTCAACGAGGGTGCTGGTGGTTCGGTGTTTCCTTCTGCTTCAGCGGCGGCGTCTCCCATGAAGATTTCCCTGACATCTTCTATCGGGTCTTCCTCTTTCTGCCGGTAGTGGAACATCTTCACGTAGCCGCTTGTTGGGGGAGGGAATTCTCTGCTATTGATACTGTTCCTAGCAAACATGAGGCCTTTGGGTGTAATGATGTATGCAAATGCCCAAAGGCCTCCCATTTGCGAATGAATGGTCTTCTCAAGCAAGATGTCCCTAAAGATTCTGGCGAATCTGTTGTTTTCGGCATCAAGCTCTTCCAGGGCCTTCATTGCATTATAGATGCAAGGATAGACCCTGGAAAGTGGAGACTTCGGGTCTTCGAAGATCAGGACCAAGCTGGCGAAGATGACGGAACACTTATACAGATCTTCTGTTCCGTCAGGAATGAAATGGAATAATGTCACCTTCGCCCGCTTGGTCCAGATAAAATGGAGAGGATAGATGAAGGATACCCATCTTGTTTCGACATTGGATGGGCATCTTGATCCAAAAACCTCGACATGCTGGCGGCATATTTCGGCAACTTCCAGCAATTGATCCTTCAATGGTGAAATTGCTGGATGGTTCATTGCCGCCTTATAAGCATTGTGTACCCTGTGGCAAATACAGGGTACAACAATGATTTCCTTCATCCATTGCACCTTGGATAAGGCAAGGATGGAATTATCCTTACCAGTAAGTGCAGCCAATTGTGCTGTTCCTCCATCAACTATGACACAGCCGATCTGCACGTGACAATCATGGATTGCCTTCAATCCATTATTGATCGCGAGTGTGTAGTTGGCAGTCTTCAATCCAGTCATTCTTTCTGTATGGGCTGGATAAGACTGAATTGGAAAGCAAGGATTTTCCAACACAAAGTCGAGTAAAGATCTCTTCTGTGTGGTACCTTCGTCTAGAGCGACACTAGCGTAAGGCATGCTGAACGTAGAGAAGCGCGCCATAATACTTGAGTGAATCTCTTTGGATGTCTGTATGAGTATATCTTTGAGCTTATCGCGCTTGTAATGAGGGATTTTTTCCATTCCAACTTGTATTGCAGTTTTTCCATTCTCCTTTGATGTTGTATAGCCTAAACAAAAGCTATACACAATTAAGTTGTATATTTCGTCACTTTCCCCTGTGCTGAGAGAGATATTATGCTTTGCTAATAGGATAGCTAATCTGCGAAAAATTCCATCAGCAGTAAATTCAACAGAACCTTCCATTTGTGATTCTGTAGATAATATAAAATTTCGAATATCTTTTTGTTTTGCACTATCAGGGAAACATTCATGAAGCTTCCCATTGCTGATTTCTTTTTTTAGGTGATCATCTCTTTTTTTAAAGGCGCATCTGAAGTTAGTATCATGAAATTGGGTACCAAGGGTCTACGCCCCTCAGTCCCCCTTTTCATGTTTTGACAAAATAATCGGATATCGTAAATTTACAAAACATATTTTTGACATTTACAAAAAATAAAAAAATATTTTTTTAAAAAATTAACTTTAAAAAATAACCTTAATTTATTTTTATTTTATTTTTTTTATTTTTATATAAATATGTCAGATTACATTTATTACGACACTTTTCCTGAACGTTTCCATGAACTTTTCAAAACGCAAGTAAAACTAAGAAACATGCATTTTAACAGAAGTGAACCCATTGATGAAATCAGAAATCCTGAATATATTATAATACCTTATGATGTTAAATTTATTGCGTACATTCCTTATGGACGTAGAAGAACTAAAACAATTTCAACAAATATGAAAAATTATTTCTGGAGTGATGAGGAAGGATGTATTTTCTACATTAATGCATACTTAAATAAAGTCACATACGTTAAAACCATTGGTTATACATTCTTTGAATTTTTCATATTTGATGACGATGGAAACAGACGCGCAGTTTATCCATTCGAATATACTTATAACTGTTTTCATAAAGCCCTAAATGAATATATAGTAAGTAAGGACTGATACCGGAAGAATAACGTTAAAATTTTTTATTTATTTTTTTTATCATAGATTTTAACACCCAGAGTAAAAAATAATTAAATAAATTAACTCAAAAATTTTTAATTTCTGTATATACTAAATTTTTCATAAATGATAAAATTAATTTAGAGGGCTCTTTGAGCCCATCTCGCCGCTACGCGGCTTAGGGTATATCTAACCCGATATCTAACCTCATTTCTAACCTTGTGAATTTTAACAGTAAATATGCTGGCATGATTCAGGAATGTCATCGCTGCTGTCTTCAAACTCTTTTATAGATTCATACCATAAACGAGCTTCACGGGAAATGAGAAGTAATGAAACAATAATTAATAATTTATTAGTAAAATTCATTTTATATAAAAATAAAATTTTATATCTAATCTGATTTTTCGAATTCTTCTAACTTCTTCTTCAGTTCTGCTATATTATCTTCATATAATTTAATCTTTCTTAATATTCCATTTTATTTAATGGCTGCTTAATTTTTCTAAATTGAACTCTACCATCTTTCATTTGATGAACATAAAAACCTTCTGGAATAGTTCCTGATTTAATGTATTCAACTAAAAATTTTTGTTTTGTTGCTTCAGTAATTTTAGTACTCATTTTATTAAAAGTAAAAAATAAAAAATATTTTTAAAATTAACTTTATTTTTTATCGTCGTCTTTTCCTTAATTACTGTGGATCAACTAGGTCGGTTGAAGGTCTATTACTTTCTTTATAGTGCTTATAAAGTTTATAAGCCGCCATATGATAAGGATAATTAAACCATAAATACGCTTTACCTAAAGTTTTCAATCGATTATATAAATCATTATTGTTAGGCGTTTCAGGTGGTGCAGGGTATTCGAGAACATCTCTAACCATTTAATTACTTTAAAACTCTTGGTTTCTTTTTAGTTTTTAACAGTTTCTTTGCTTTTGCGATTTTAGCTAAAATATATCTTCGACCGTAATGGAACCAATTAGAACCTCCTGTTTTAGGGTCAAAAGGTCTTCCATAACCGCCAGGGTCATATGGTGCGACTGCAGTTACTGGCGCAGGTGCTGAATTAATCGGCGATGCCTCAATTGGTGGATATTCTGGCTGTTTCTCCTTTTCTTTAAGTGAATTTAATTTAAACTCTTCGCCATTCAACTGACCTTTAAAATCTTTTAGCTGCTTAGATATTTCATTATCTTCGCCTAAAAGGTTCTGCGACTGATCAGCGACCCAGTTACCTAATTTCTTTAACTTTTCAGATTTTAATTTTCTGGCAGCAGCTCCCACAAGCATTCCAGCATTATTTTTTAAAGCTTTTGATACAGCTCCACCAGTTAAACCGTCAATAGCTTTATAACCTCCATACAAAGCTGATAGTGTTGAAAATACCATTTAATGCTTATTAAAATCATTTCTCATAATGATTAACTCATAAAATTTTTCATCGGAGCTAAACGTTAATGAAACTCTGACTTTTTCACCACTGAACCTCTTTATTAGTTCATTAATTCTATCAATTATATTAGCACACTCACTTACATCATCAATGATAGTAATATCATCACAAATTATTTTTACATTTAACGACGTCATTTATTACAAATTAATTTCTTCTATTCTTTAAATAATTAATAAAAGACCTAATACGTGTGAGTGGTTCGCGGTTCCTTTCCTGTGTCGGGCTTGTTTGAATCGGTGTAGATTTTTTCAGACCTGTTGGAATAAGATCAGCCCCGGCAGTTGAATTAATCGGTGTTCTATATAAATTTCTATATAAATATGGTCCCGCTACAGCACCAGCAGCTAATAAAAGACCTACAGGAATTACAATTCTATTATAATTCCGCGGTTTAGGATCTTCATCAAAACTAGCCCATGCGCTTTCAGTCGTTGAACTCATTTATATATAATTAAATTTTAATAAGCGATTAATATGAGTTCGATAATAATACTATCTTTTCTGTCATCAGGAAGGACAATATCTTTTAGGCTCGATGGTTCAACTAATTTTATATTAAATTTATTAACATAATTAGTTATTGAATAATGCTTCGGCGGAGAATATAAACAGTTTGATAAACATAAAATAGAATCTTCAGCGAATTCACTTATACTTGATTTAATGATTGCCGCTTCTCTGGACCAAACACCATTAAATGAAATTGATGTTAATAAATAATCATCATTTTTAATGGAAATTGATTTTGGTAAGTACTCCAGGAGGTCATTTAATGTTATCTGTTCTGCTCCGAACTGAGCAAATCGATAAAAGCATTCATCATTATTAATTCCTGTAATCTCTTGAAAATTTTTATTCGTGTATACATTTTCAATCTCATCACCGACAGCACCATCTTTTAAATCAAATATGAAACCAGCTTTTGAATTTGAATTAACACGAAATTCTATTGAATTAGTTTCAAAACTATAAAACATATCAACTTCATTAGGTTGAGGATATCCGGCACCTTTTAACTGTTCAATAAGAACCGATTTAATCTTTTTATTAAATGCTGTCATAATCTCCTGTGTCTAAATCTATATAAATCTGTAAATCATATTGATGATTATCTCTTATTATTCCAAAGTTATATAATTCAATGGTTCGTCCTGCAGGAATGGTTTTTATCTGTCTTATTTCAATTGCTTTTTCGCCAGTGTTATAATCAACCCAGTGTTTAGGGTATTCATAAATGTATTCACCATTGATTATTTTAAACGGTTGTGAAAATATGTGCTCATAATAGATTTTAATACTTTTATCATTAAGACTGGGAACGGTATTAACAAAATTTCTGACTTGCATTTTTAATTATAATAAAATGAAACATTTATTTGAAGAAGTAGATGAAAAAATGAATGAAAAATCTGATAAACTCAATAGTTCATTAATTCTTCCCTTCAGTAAGGATTATCAGTTCTGTTCAAACGGTGTGTATTTCTATTGTGGAAAAATGGGTTCAGGAAAGACTTTTAATTTAATTCGTCATATTTTAATTACTGAACGATTAGGTCAAGATTCATATTATGACCAAATCATTATATCAGCAACTTCAGATTCAATGGATTCAACAGCGAAGACGTTTATGGGTAAAGTTCAGGCATCAGTGGTGAAGGTTCCGGATAGTGAATTAATTTCTTTTCTTCAACGTTATATAAGAAGAAAGAAGAAATATTATGCAATAGTTGAATTTATACAATCTGGCATGCAAAAGACCTCGGAAGAAATGGAAAGAATTATTGATAAACATCATTTGAGACAGCAGGATGGTACGTATGATATGAAACGATTGACAAACTACATTCTCTCAAAACTTTCAAAATATCCTTTTAAAAAATATCCATCAAACACTTTATTAGTTTGTGATGATTTCGCTGGTAAAGGTTTGGTTTCAAAACCAGATTCACCATTAGCTAATTTAATAACGAAAGTCAGACATTATCACATGACTGTAGCAATACTAATGCAAACGTGGAGGTTTTTAGCATTAAACATAAAACGTCTCATTACTGATTTCGTTATATTTCAAGGTTTCTCAAAATACGATATAGAATTAATTTGGAAGCAATCAGGAATAACATTACCTTTTGATGAAATCTGGGATGCTTATAAATCACTCATTTCACCACGTTCATATTTAGAAATTCATATAATGACTAATACAATTAATGTTAAAAATATACCTTGTGAAAGACCAACATTTTTATTTTTAACAATCTTAAATTTTGCCATCATTAAAGAGGGTAAAAAACTATTAGATGTCCACATTTAAGGATGGGCACTCATAGGCTCCTGACAGCATAAAAATGTTATTATCTCACAATATAAAAGGAATCATAGGAATCTACAACTATATCTATATTGTTGGAAGACTTCTTAATGTATCATGCATATAAGTTATATCAATAACTCCATTATGTTATATGATTGTAATCATATTTTCGTTTCATGTTCAAAAACATTAAAATCATACTAACTATATGAGTATTATATTTAGGAAGCTGATATATAGATATGATAAAATGCTAGGTTTTGTGATTAAGAATATATACTTATCTTTTAGAAAATAATACTTTTATAAAAAATTATATCTTATATAATCTAAAAATTTTGGACAATTAAAAAACATTAATCAAAAATAGAAGGTGAAAGTGTTTATTCAAAGAAGGTGCAAGATTATGATGTTTTGGGGGTGAAATAAATTTAATAATTATTTATGTGATTTAAGAGTAATACGATCATCGGTAGCTTGAAGACCTCTCTTTATAGCTCTTAATGCCGCAAACTTTTTTTGAACTTGCTTTGAATTTTTGAATGCTTTGATTAAATCTTTTGTTGTATCATACATTCTGAAATATCTGTTCATCATTTCTGGCATTGTTGGTAAATTTAACCTGTATCTTATTGCTACAATCGTTTCAAACATACTTTCATTGAAATGCAATATTGTGACTGCCATCCTAATTGGCCAAGAAGCATGCCAATTAATATTTTTATTAGCAAGCATTGCTTTGATATGGTTTATCGATTCAACTACTTGAGTTGAATGAATCTTTTTTACCATATCAAAGATTTTTACGGTATCTTCGAGGAATTTTTTAAGTGTTTTTATAGCAGTTTTATTTTTTGCATATTTCCATGGTTTAATCATCTTGCATTTTTCAGGATCTGGACAAAATTTATGATTTCCGGCATAATGTTTAGCGGAATTCAACCATAAAAACTTCTTTGTTTTAATTGACATATGTGTGTCATTGAGAAGTTGCCTAAGCCAACGCAATAAATTCTTTGAAATGCTAGATAAGATTCTGAATTCTGGCAGTTTGAACTTTTTCTGTATATTGTTAAGAAAATGTCCAGGATCTCTGTATTCTCTGATACCTTTGAACGTATTTTTGATTGTAGAAACAATTTTGACATCGCCATCATGCACAAAAAAATTTACACGTTTTTCATTATTCCAACGCTTCAGCATTCTTTTTAAGCCTTCAAATTCCATTTCATTTGATTTTCCGTTGAAATTACCTTTGAAATTTTTAAAAGATTTAGATATCACTTCCCAATCTACAATTTTTTGAGTTTCTCTTCTACAAATTGTACATAGCAAAACATTGCATTTCTTCTCTGACTCCAAGAACCGTCAAACAAAAGTCCCGAACATTTTCTCATTCGAGATTTCCAATAATTAACAGATTCTCTGGCAACTTCTATGATAACACGACCAACCTTTTCTAGGACTCGATGAAATGTAGCTTCTGACGGAACTTTGATGTTATTCAGCATGAATTGAAATTCTGATTGGCAAAATGTAGCGCCGCTCAATAATACAGATAGCACAAATTCAACAGTGTTGACGACATATGGCTCTACCCTATTTTTCGCGCTTTGAACTAAGTTCTTTATACGCTTTGCAACTGCTTTTGTTCGCCGCGGCATGAAAAATGAAGAATAACTTGACGGTTTCTTGAACAAATGGTCGCACATTCAAATATTGTGATGTACGATCAGGATAAAAGAATGTTGTTGCCGTGAATTTAGAAAATAGCAAAATTTCAATTTACGCAATCGAGATATAACTTGATCGTTTGAGCGATAACCATGGCACCCATAGTATTAATGAAAGTACTCATACTTACAATTATTTTCTCCCATAGGAATATTGTTCAATATACTTCACCTATAGAGGAAATCTCGAAATAAAATCGAATTTTTTCAAAAATTACAAAAATCAATTTTTTACAAAGATGTTCGAAAAATAACATTATATACGCATCAAATCAAAGCATTATATGGCGCATTATAATTCTATATATGATTGTCCATCTTGCTGTTGTGCTATTTTTTTAAACAATAATTTCATTGTTGAAATTAAATTTGCAATTTCAGTAAAAATTGCGACCCATCATTTTGAATATAATTGAATTAATACATTTATTATAAGAATATTATATACCAAATATTAGACTTCCACATGAATCCTGGTATGATATTATAAGTATTGCAAAATTAGAAAAAAATATGCTCATGATATACTAAAATTCATGTTTCAAGGTTAACTTATAAATAAAATAAGTTCGAGAAATGCATCACTAAATATTTGAGCTTGTGCACTATAATGCTATATAATAGTCTTCACTGTTTTTAATATATTGACTTTGCTAGACTTGATTTTTTTCATCACCCTAATGAGTGCCCATCCTTAAACACAGCTTCAAACACAAACACTAACAGTGAAGTTAAGTTAGAATATCCACCTCCATTAGAACCAATCATATCGCGTGATGCCAACGACAATCCATATTCAAACATTCAAACGAATCCTTCAGAAAATGTAGACCATTACCTCCTTAATTTATATCAAACAATATTACTCAAGGACGATAAGAAGCTTTTGACAAATCTTATTAGTAAGAATCAAATAATTTTAACAAAGGAGGATTTAGAAAATGTTATATCAAGAATAACAGGTAAACAGTGCGTTATTGATTATCTTGACCCTGAAATCGAATGTTGTGGTCAGATGCCGGTATTTATGAAAATCGGTAGTATTAGAATAATCGAAACACCAGGAACTACAGGAGTTGAGTTTAAGTATAAATATTCGAATGAATACACAAAACTTTCAACAGAATATAAACTTTGCTTGAAATATGTTTTAACGAATTAATTTAAGATTTATATTTTTAAGGGCGAAGCCCCGTCGCGTAGCGGCTCCCTGGTTCATCATCTAGTCCATTAGCTCTTATATTAGACCAAAAATCAACTTCTATAGTCATTTGAACAGGAGCTTTAATTTCAATTGGTTCGCCTTGAAAATCAACTAATCTAAATGTCATATCTTTTAAATGGTGTGGTTGAATTCGAACCCATTTGCCTTCGTGTCTTAATAAAATCGGAAAATTAGGCATGAATACAGAATTAACGGCGTAACAGAACGATTTATATTCTATAACAGAATTTTTATTATTAACTCCTGAAATTCCTGTTACATTACTTATTTTTGATTCAACATATAAACAGTTTCCATAACAGATGTAGGGCGCAGACTTCATTTCAATTATATATTTTTGATTTTCAATAGAAGATTTTAATGGTAATTCTTGATGATAAGCACCTAGTAATAAACGTGCTCGATGAGTCATATCAGTAATTTTAAATTCTTTTTCGGAACTAAATTTTATTATTCCTGAATCAGTTAATTCACAGTCATGGCTCCATTAAATTTTTCATCAATGAGATCCTGAATCTTTTTCTCTAACGTATCAATATCATATTTATTTCTTGCTTTAAAATGAATTTCAGTTCTAATACCATCAATTTCAAATGTAATGAAATCGTTAGTGTCTGTTATAACAAATGAAGCGATAGTGCTAAAATCAAGAACTCTGAAAGCTAGTGGTTCATTCTGAAGACCAAGGTTAGTTTGTAATTTTAATGTCCCGTAATCATTAGGGTCTGTACTTTGCAAATAGAACAACATTTTTATTCTAATTAAAAATATGAGTATATCCGCATATTCTTATGAAGCTGATAGAGCGAAAAGATTAATTTTGGGTTCATACACGTTTTCATTTGATGATGAGCATTTAATAATCACTGATGGAAAAACTGAACATTATATCTCATGGAAAGAATATGAAAAATCCATTCCAATATTAACGCCATGCACAATGCCTTTCATAAAGGACGGTGAAATTATTGAAAAAGATAATACAACGGTTTATATAGGTCTGTTTATGAAGCATTAGAATATATGTTAAATTATAATCCGGAAAGATTTGACCCAAGTACTACACTATGTGCAATGCCCTTTATTAAGGACGGTGAAATCGTAAGGGTTCCGAATTCAACGGTTTATACAGCTGTCCAAAACAGTTTACAAAACATTTTGGCAAATATCTTTAATTCAGAAACTACAGAAATAAAATTACCGTATATAACAGATGCTAAAGAAATTAAATCAAAAACAACAACATTATTTGCATCACTTAATGATTTAATGACTTATATCATTAATACTCCTTCTCCGACTACGGCATTTGATCCAAACTCGACGGTTTGCAGTGTACCTTTCATTAACGACAGTTCAGTAATTGCTTTAAGGGATTCGACAGTAAATGAATCATTAAAGGCTTCATTAATGAAAATCATTGATTTTAACTCATTCATGAATACATATAATTCATTCATTAATGTTTCATACACTTCTAAAGAAGGTGAGCCAAAAACTATAGATAAAGCGGTGTATGAAATAAAAGCATCAATGACGAAATTGAATTCGTTAACTTTTGAAGGTGCTAGTTCCGTCAACAGCATGACATCAGGAAAAACGATTTTAACGAAAGAATATTTAAAATCTCATGTTAGTGAGTTCGTTGAAATTGAAAAAGAAGGTGGAATTAAGTTCGATCCACTGGGTTTCATTTTCGACTTAGCGAATGCGGGTGTTAGTTTCGCTGAATGGACAACTATACAGAGTGAGATAAATGCATATGGACGTTTTTGGGGTCGAAAGCGGGAATGGGTGAGCTTGTAGATGCTGCAAGAACATTAGGTGAAACGGGAAATTTTGTAGATGGTTTTAAAAGACTTGTTTCAAATGTTTTAACATACACAAAGAAATTATTTAGATATACCGTACATAACGGACAGATTTTCGAACAGGTAGCAACAAACCCGGTTTATGGCTGCGTTGATGATGGCTAGAGACATAAACGAAGAAGAGGAGAAACCACAGGATACGGGTCAGGTTATTCGAGACATTAAAAACGTGTATCCTGAAGTTATTGATTTATTTAGAGGTGTTAATGATTCGATTCCAAATCATTCTATAACCCTTGATGAAGAGAATAAATTAACAGATTATATATTCGTCATTATTGCAGAACTAATGAAGAGAATAAATGAAAAAGGTATAGCTGATATCATTAATGTCAGCGATGTAATGATGAAAAGAAATTTTGACTCATTATTTACAGAACCGAAAACAGAATATAGTCTTTATGATGTAATTACTGAATTAATGAAAAAGATTAATGATAATAAGAGTTCTGGCGGAAGAGTTGAATTAGAAGTGAATGATGTTAATGAGAAATTAGATAGTAAGGCAGAAAAAAATGAGCTTTTAGCTCTGAGTGATAGAGTCACGAACCATGTTCATTATATAAGTTCAGATGAACAGATTATAACGGATTATCATGGATATTTAACACGAACTGAAGAAAGAGTGAAGACGAAAGATGTTAATGAAAGAAGATATAAATACATTCGTGCTGAAGGTTATGACATACGCTGTACTGTACAGTATGACACAGGTAAAGCACCAGAAGCATTTGGTTATAACAATGAAATTTATGCCTCTAGTTTCTTTGTTAACGGTGTATTAGTTGAACCAAGATTTATGTTAAGAGTTAAGGCAAAAATAACTTTTGAAGATGCTATTAAAAGTAAAGCTGACAAAGATGAACTTGACGCAATGAACAAAGTTTTGAAATCTCATAAACACGATATCTCCGATATAAATGAACTTCAAGCTACATTAAATAGTAAAGCAGACAAAAATCATACGCATGAATCCTTCACTACTGTTAGAGCAGACGACATAATATTGAACTATACCCTTGGTTCAAGTGCACCTTTAGAAAATCCAAGTACAAGCGTAAAAGATACACTAAACTCCTTAAATAACAAATGTATGAATATCGAAGGTCATGCCAGAAACTTTGAAACATATGAACTACCAGCAATGTTAGATAAGAAAGCAGACAAAAATCATACACATGAATTCTTCACAACTATTAGAGCTGATGAGATAATATTGAATTGGGCTATTGCTTCATCAAGCACGGGTGATGAAGATATGCGCACTAACCTAAGAAATATGGTTGTTGATTTAGCCAATAAAACCGACAAAATATATGTAGATGAAGAATTAAATCGTTATGATACAAAAGCAATGAGTTATACAGAAGAAGCAAAGGAATGGGTAGATGAAAATTATGCAAAGAAGTCGGAAGTAAATGATAAAATTAATGGAAAAGCTGATAAAGAGCATGTGCATGAAGAATTTCAAACAATCAGGATTAAAGAAATTAATGCATACGTTGAAGAAGTAACAAAAACAGGAAGAGACGGTACACCTTTAGTTGAACAAAATATTTATCCTCCTACTTTTCCTAATGGTTTAATAACAAACAATATAAATATTGTAGATGGCGATGGATTTATAAATGTTAAACATGAACTTCAAACAATGAAGACTCAGATTCTTGAAACCATATATCCTATCGGTGCTTTATATACATCAATGAATTCAACAAATCCGGCAAGTGTTTTAGGTTTTGGTACATGGCAGCAAATTGTAGATAAATTCTTATACTGTGCTAATTCATCAAATCAAACAGGTGCTTCAAAGAAAATTTTAGAAGCAAACCTTCCACCGCATAAGCATACAGGAACTACAAACACAACAGGTAATCATTCACATTCAATAACAAAAAGAGGTCATACAAATCTTGCAGCAGGTTCGGATAGACAGGGAATGAATAGATATGATATTTCAAGTGACCCAGTAGATTCAAGCGCAGGTATTTTCTGTGGAACCGCAGGAAATCATTCACACACTTTCACAACAAATCCAACAGGTTCGGGTGCAGATTATATGCCACCGTATATTACAGTTTATGCATGGGTTAGAACGGACTGAAAGTCCTGAGCTCCAAAAGAGCGAACAGCATGAAATTTACTAAATTTATTTTTACATAAATGAGTTTAAAAGAAGTATTCGAATCATCACCGTGGAGGTCATTTAAAAAATTCTATGAAGCTGCAAAGAATGCGGGATTTAATGATAGAACAGAAATTAAGAGATTTTATGATGAAAATATAGTTCATCAGGTTAAAGTTAATCCATACGACTACTACCTCCCAATTTATTCTAAAACCCATGATGCATATCAATTTGATATACTCGTTCAGAGTAAGAAAGGAAGAAAGCCACCATTTTTGATTTTCATTAATGTTAATACACGTAAAGCTTTTGCGTATATAATGAAAAATAAAGGAACAAAAGAAGTTTTAAGAGTTTTGCAGACGTTCGTGGCAGAACATCATCCCACTTCATTAACTTCAGACCAGGATTCAGCATACCTCAGTAATGAAATTACAGAATTTTTGATTAAACATAACGTTACTCATTACACGACTGAAGATCATAACCATAATATTTTAGGTATCATTAATCGTTTCATTCGAACGCTCAGAGATTTAAATAAAGAAAGAGATTTTACGGAGGAATCAATGAATAAAGTCATTAATGCTTATAATAAGTCCACCCATAACAGCACAGGACTTAAACCAAACGAAATGACTTCAAAAGAGGAGGATGAATACATAAAACAAAAAAGAATGTTAACAGATGAAAGAAGAAGTTCATCATTACTGCCAGGAACTAAAGTTAGAATTATTCTTGAACATAAACCACATGAAAAGGTAAGAAATCAGTTAAGTGATGATTATTATATCGTTGATTCCTCACAGGGTAATGGTTATTTAATTAAAGCAGCTGACCATTCGGTTGCGTTTTATCCACGATTTCGATTAGTTGAAAGCGAAAATGGAAGATTAGCTAAGACGGTTGATGAAGCGAAAAGAGGTATAGTTAATAAAATTGTGAGTTATGATGAAGACAAAGATGAATACACTGTCGTTTATGAAGGAGGTGTGGATGATAAAATTCCTTCTAGAAATTTGAGAGAATCGAACCCTACACATTTATCGGAACTCGAAAAGGATTACTGGAAGGATAAAAATAAGCCAAAATTAATCAAAAAATTTTTATGAACTAAATATATTTTATGTCTGAAGTTAATTAGTTAATAATGTAGCGGATGAAATACAGAAATATATTTTATCGTTAATGTTTTTTTAGGTTATTCAATAATTAATTATTTTTGAAGAACTGAACGTGTCACCACGTCACCATGTGTCACCAGGTTAATTAACTTCTTTTAAAAATGATGACAACATGACATTTAGACAACTAGCCCGGAAATAAATTTTATCGTTTATGTTTTCGTAAATGTTTTCATTAATTTTTTCGTAAATGTTTTCATAAATGTTTACGTTAATTTTATCGTTTATGTTTTCATAAATGTTTTCGTTAATGCTTTCAGTGTCGAACATAATTGACGAAGGGAGAATTGTCTGATCGTCATTATTTTATTTTTACCATTTAATTGTTTCCATAAATGCTCCGTGTCGAACATAATTGACGAAGGGAGAATTGTCTGATCGTCATTATTTTATTTTTACCATTTAATTGTTTCCATAAATGCTCCGTGTCGAACATAATTGACGAAGGGAGAATTGTCTGATCGTCAAGTTTATTAGTTAACGGGAGGGTTAGATATATTCCATCGCAACTGAAAAATGATGACAACATGACATTTAGACAACAGTCCTAGAAATAAATTTTATCGTTTATGTTTTCGTAAATGTTTTCATTAATGTTTTCGTTATATGTAAATCAGACATAAAGGAACAGTTCTGATGTCATTTATATTAACATAAATGACCAAAAAAATAATTTAGGTGAAGAGGTGAAATCTCACCTCTTTTTTCACCCGGTTTTTCACCCCATGAATTTTCATGAATTTTTCACGAAATAAAAATAACGCTAATTTTATTTTTATTTATTTTTTTATTTTGTATAAAAGATATGAATTCAACAATCGGCACAACAACAATTCAAACAACAACAGCACCAAATTCGTTAGTCATGAATCCTACATCGATGTTGTTAGAGATGAAAAACTTCATTCCTTCTTCATATACTTTTGAAACAGAAATCCAGAAGATAAAGCAAGAACTTTTAACAAGTAATTTAGACTGTAGTGCGAAAGATGAAACAAATGAACAGTATCTTTATGAAATGGAGAACCTCATCAACCATTTGCCTAAACTACCTGAAATTCAGCAGCAAAAACTAACTATTCCTGAATTCGACGAAATTGAAGTCAAAGCAACTGACTCAGTAGAAATTAAGAAATTCATACGTAAAGTAAATTATGAATTCCTTGGTTTTCATTGCAACCATAAAGTTATGGACAAAGATTGTGACATGGTTTATAAAAATATTTCTGACCTTTACAAATCCGAAGAATTTAAGACATACGATAACTTTGTTTCATTAGTTGCAACATGTGTTTGGGAAATAAGAGATAAAGATAGAAGAGGCAAAGTATGGAACGAACAAATAAGACCCGCTATGTTTGAGATGAAGAGAGCAATTGACGCTTTAGTTGTTTTAGCTGGTAATGTTTCAATGTATAACGCAAAAGCGATGCCGCAATGTTCAAAATGTAAGGCAGCAATAAGAAAATATAACTACTCAGTCAAAGAGATAGAAAGAATGCGAAACGACTATGCAGACTTAAAGAAAGAAGCAGAAAAGCCAGCAGAAGATAAAATGGACATGTTGACATTTCTTAATAAAAATTATCCAACAGCAGAAGATTTCCTTCTGTCTGACGTCAAGAAGAAATTTAAAGAGACTTTCGGCATGATTAAAACATTCGATGTACTAAAAGAAGAAATTGAAGCTACGAAATTGTTTAGGATTTCAAATATACATCGTACAATTCATGTAAAACGCTTGTGAAAAAAGAGGTGAAAAATTAGGTGAAAAAAGAGGTGAGATTTCACCTCTTCACCTAAATTTATTTTTGTTCGAAGTTTCCACCATCGTGCTTCCACCCTCGTTCAAAGCTTCCACGAGAGAAAAGATTCCTCATTCGCTAAGGATTCCAAAAATGAAAAATTCATTGATTTCGGCTGAGAAAAAACTACAAAAACCCTTCTTCCACGGGAACAAAGAAATAAAGAAGAAATAAAGTAAATTTTTATTTATTCCGTGAAAGATAGAGCACTTTTATTAAACGAGGCAGATCCTTCACAACAATGGAGTTAATGCTCCGTGTCGAACATAATTGACGAAGGGAGAATTGTCTGATCGTCATTATTTTGAAAGGACTTCAGGGAACAGGTAAAAACAGATTTACAGACATTATTTCTGAACTTCTCGCCGGTTATTCATGCAAAAACATTACTGAAATAAGTGAGCTAACGGGTAATTTCAATTCAGTAGTTGAGAATAAAATGTTTCTTGTACTTAATGAACTCAAGAATGTAGGTGAAGACAGACTCGCAAACTTCAACGCTTTGAAATCAATTATTACGGATAATCAAATAAGAATTAGTGAAAAGAATCAACCCAGAAGAACTGCTCAGAATGTTGCCAATTTTATTTTGGTAACTAACAACGTCTACCCTGTCAAAATTGAAGTTGGAGACAGAAGATACGTAGTTTTAAGGTCAATTTGATTACTTCAAGAATTTAATGAATTCATGCACAAAGGAATTTTATGATAACCTTTTAACATATTTTATGCAATATGACCTTTCATCATTTAATGTACGAATTATACCGATGACTGAAGCCAAACAAGATTTAATTGAATTATCAACAAATCCTTTAGATGTATGGATAAATACACATTATGATGAATTGTGTGCAGGTATGACGTGTAAAAATGCTCTATTCTGCAAACCATCAGACATGAAAGACAAAAACTTTCAAATGAGCATTAAGGATAAATGTGAAAGGAAACAGAGAAGAATAGATGGTAAACAGACGTGGTGTTATGCTTTGAAAGAAGAAATGAAAGGATTATATAAACAGGTTGAACCAAACGATAATGATGATTCATTTACTGACGAGGAAATACCTGTAAATGAAGCTTTATAAAGTATGATTTGAATTTATTTTTGCATTAATCCTGCTGTGATGTCTAAATGTCATGTTGTCATCATTTTTAAAAGAAGTTAATTAACCTGGTGACACATGGTGACGTAGTGACACCATCAGTTCTTCAAAAATAAATTTTCTTATAAAGCTTCAGGGTCTATTTCCTCAATCATTTCCGTTCCTTCTTCATCAAATTCAATCGTTGCTTCCTCAATTACTGGTAGGAGTTTATGAATAACATCTTTATTCGTTATCGTCTTCAGAGATGAAGGATAATATTTCATTATTACTTCACCTTTCTTGTATTCTTTCTGCTGCGATAAATCTAAAACGATGCTGAAAAATTCAACGTTAGAGTTCTTCATAATCGTATAATGTGTATCTTTGATATTTACAAATATTCCTTTTGTTTAAGTAATACTGCTATTTCATGTGGTGTGTAACGTTTTCTGTCAATAATGATAGCGTATGGTTTAACGAACTGACCGTATTTAGATTCTTTCACAAACTTTTTATTGAATATAACGTTCACGTTTTTTCCATTTATGAATTCATTCTTAACAGCAGTAGCGAGAGCATTGTATGAATAGAACTTGTACTCAGACATTATTTTATTAAAATTAAAAATATAAATTATTTTAAAAATTAAGTTTATTTTTAAATTTATTTTTTACGGAAAATATTTTTTTTATTTTCCATAAAAGATGTATAAAAAGCTATCTAGATTAGACCATGAAGAAATTAAGAAGTTATTGAAGAATGCTGACATTGAAGTTAGCAAAAGATATGCGACTAACAAATCATCATTAGCTAAATACCTCAATGATTACAGAGTGTAGTCACTTACGAGAAAATTAATGATTACATTAATAACAAAACATTTCCTTTAAATGATGTTCAGGTTAATTTATATCATAAACAAGCGGTACCGAAGGAAGTAAGCAGGAAATTATGATATGATAATGTTGATGTAGGTGAAACGAGAAAGAAGAAAAGCGATGAAGAAAAGAAAAATATAGCTGTAAAATATGCAAAAGCAATTGCACAATTACGCAAAGCAAACGAAGTAATTAAATCTATAGACGATAAAGCTCTTGATGACGAAATGGTTAAAGAAGGATGAAAATAATAAACGCAAAAATGTTAAAGCAGGAAATAGAATCATAGATTTTAATATTCGTGAACTCAATGAAGAAAAGAGAAATTACCTACATGAACGTTTCGGTAAAATGTTTATTAGGCTTCTGCAGAAGATAAAAGTAAATTCACAGCAAAAATGGATGATTTGTTATAGACTTGATGGTAAATTTACTAATTCAACATTGAATATCGAGAACATCGGAGCTTTGCTTCATCAGTTAAAGCAAGAAAACTTTATAACAGAGATTGAAGCAAACGCAGCCGGAATAATTGAAAAACATTATGATTTCTTCATGACAAATATTAAGAACCTCGAAGAAATTAAAATGTATGATTTAACTGAATATGAAGGATTAACGATGAGCGATATTAAGAAAGGTAAGCCACAGAAGAGAGAAAAAAGAGATGAAAGCAAATTAACAGCACGTCAGCAAAGATTATTAAACAGACTTAAAGAAATAGGAGATAAACAGGATATAGATGATTTTTGGAATGAAATTCTTGATGAAAAGAGAACGAATAAAAAGAGAAGTGGAGTTTTGGAAGTATCTTTGCAGATTACCTATAAATCTTGAACGCTATCAAATTTTCAATGAACTTAACAAAAGAACTGCTAAGTTGATGACAGAAGATAACTGCTTCGTTTATGCTTGCATTCAGGCTGGAGTTGATGAGCAGACGGTAGACCACATGCGTGAAGTTATTAGAGTTAGAGATTTTCCACAAAGTAAGATTCAGGAAATTTCTAACGCAACAGGCATAGCATTTAATGTTACCATTGGTTATTTCAATGACTCTAGACATAATGAAATAAAGAGATATATACCAAAAGAATGTGAAACTGTTCGAACTATTGACTTACTTCTTGTTGAAGACCATTACATGTTAAATGAAAGATTACCTATGATAACATATTTTATCATAAATTATAACGAAATTCTCAAATCATTAGGCGGCTGGAATATTGAGCGTCAAATGAAAATATATAAGAAAAGGGAAAATAGATTTGTTATTGATTCTACGCGAACAACTCCTTTATGGGATATTTTGAAAACATTAAGAGAGTGCAATTACTTTGAACCGTTATCTTATGGTGAACTTTTCACTTATACAACATATTTATATAAACAAAAACTTGCACCGTTTAAAGATTTAAATTATACCCCGAACTACTGTGTTCAGTTAAAGAAGAAAGCAGAGTCAAAAGACACCAAGCCGCAAAGCGGCGAGACCGGAGGTCATGAGGCAAAAAAGAAATTCATATATGAACACGTTTTCTTCGCTGACTTTGAATGTAGCACTGATGGAGTTCATAAAGCCTTTAACATTTGTTATGATAGTGAAGATGGAAAGATTAGCGAAAGCATTTGGGGTCAAAATTGTGCAACAAAATTTTTAGAAAGAATTCCTGATAAAAGTTTAATATATTTTCATAACCTCAGTTATGATATCAATTTCATTTTAAGACATTTAACAGAAATTAGCGGAACACCAATTATTAAGGGTTCTAGAACAATGCAGATAACGGGAATATATAAAGGTAAAGCAATCATTATTAAAGATTCATACACTGTTATAAATAAGAAGCTTAAACTATTTCCTGAAATGTTTCATTTACAAACTGGACCCAAGGAAGTATTTCCGTATCAATACTATTCAAGTTCTTTATTAGTTAATGATAACAGAACCGATGTCATTTCTGAAGCGTGTAAGTTTGTAAAAGATATTGAAACGTTCATGAAAAACATAGATTTAATCGAAAACTGCAGAATAGATGAAAACCATTTCGATTTAGAAAAATATAGCTCATTTTATTGCAAACAGGACGTAAGGATTTTAAGAGAAGGTTTCGTTAAGTTCAGAAATGATATATTGAAAGAGTTTGATTTAAACGTTTATGATTACGTTAGCATGTGTTCAATCGCTAACAAACTTTTCGAAAACAGAGTATATTTCCCGAATGGAAATTTATATGACCTTTCAAATAAACCAAGAGAATTTATTTCACGCTGTATTCAAGGTGGAAGATGTATGATGTCAGATAACATGAAACAAAAGAGCGAAAAGAAACTCATTGCTGACTTCGATGCTGTTTCATTATATCCCTCAGCTATGCGAGACTTTATACTTTAGAAGGAATTCCAAAGGTTATGAAGAAAGAAATGTTAAACAGTGAATATTTGTTAAAACATTTATTCGATGATGACCAGGGCGAGCCTGAAGGTGAGAAATTCATTTCCGGATTCTTTGTTTTAATAAAAATAACCGAGATTAAGATTAAAAGGCACTTTCCATTAATAACAGTAGATCCAGAATTAAACCCGGAGCTAAAGGTTCCAAGAAGTTCTAACACATGCTGTTTAATGTATGTGGACCACATAGCTTTGCAGGATTTAATAAAATATCAGGGCATCAGCTGTGAAGTATTACAGGGTTACTACTACGATGAAAAAAGAGATAGAATAAGAGATGAAGTAAAGAAATTGTTTGAATTGAGATTAAAGTATAAGAAGGTAGAAAATCCGCTACAAGAAAATATTAAATTAATTTTGAACAGTATTTATGGAAAAACTATTTTGTCCCCGATAGAGTCGAAAATTAAAATCATTGATGATAAAGATGCTGTTAGGTATGCCATCAGAAATTATAATCATATTATTAAGTTCGAAGGTTTAGATGGTTCGGATAAAACTATTTTCAAACTAACTAAAAGCATTTGCAGACACTTTAACTTTTGCCCCTTAGGTGTTAATATCTTATCTATGTCGAAACGTATCATGAATGAAGTATTTTGCACTGCTGAGGATATGGGCTTAAGTATCTTTTACCAGGACTGTGATAGCATGCATATTTTCAATGAAGATATACCATGTTTAGCTCATGAATTTAAGAAGAGATACGGTCGCGAACTTATTGGAAAGAATTTAGGTCAGTTCCATTCCGACTTTGCAGAAATCACAAAAGATAAACAAAGTTTAGCTTACAAGTCGATATTTTGTGGAAAGAAGACTTACATAGACCTTTTAATAAATGACATTGGTGAAGTTGCATTTCATGCACGTATGAAAGGCGTAAAACAAGATGTCATTGCTTTAACCGCTAACAAAATGTTTCCTGACGCAGTACAATGCTATTATAATGAAGATAAGAACATTCATATTCCTGTTGGAAAATATGATAAAGATTCTGAGTTCAGTATAATGAAATTATATCAAGCCCTTCACGATGGTCAGGAAATCGCATTTGATTTATGCAAATCAACAGCACCCTGTTTTGAAGAGAAGTTTAACTTTTCAATAACGACTAAAAATACTTTCATAAGTAAATTAAAGTTCTGAAGTCATTTATGATATAATATATTTTTATCGTTCAAGACAAAAATAAACTTTTCATATTAAATTATGTAAGCGTTTGAATTTACTATACGTAATGCATGTTCTTTTTCCATTAACATCATAAACGTTAACATATAATGAACCATTTATGTTTTCATTAATGTATAGTTCTTTATACTAACGACCGTTATAATAATAAAACAAATCTGCATCGATGTCGTAAAATAAATCCTCAAATTCATGATTTCCGTAATGTGAAACAGTAATTGAATTTTCACTGATTTCATCAACGAAATTATATTCTACTCCACTTGCTTTACTTCTATTTCTATTATTTGTAGAACTTAAACACCAATGTAGATTATCAATCATATTATTATTTCTAACTTTATCGTAATGGTCAACTTCATTGAGATTCTTAGGATTATCAATCCACTGAATAGCTATTAATCTATGTTTAAGATATTTTTTACCGTTAAGGGTTAATCTTATATATCCATTCTTTTCTTCATACTCACTGACAGTCTTTCCGTTTTTCTTCCTTCTTATTTGATACGGATATTTTGTGTTAATTTCGTAATCTTCATCAGCTACTAATGTTTCCCAGTTATTTTCCATCTTTTTATAAAAATAAAAAAATCAGAAAATTAAAAATTAACTAGTTTTATTCATCACCTCCATCAGCAGCTAAATTATAATCATCAATTCTAACAGCAGGAATGCCAGCTGGTCTGATTTGAATAGCGAAACAAGCATTTCTAAGAAATCCTAATAAAGGTTTGACAGTGTATTTTTCGCTTATATTTGTATCATCAGCTTTAACACCTAATTTATATGTAATTGGTGCCGTTGATGTTTGACCCTGTTGAAATGTGAAATCAGTTTCCGTAGGGAATCCACAGAGGAAATGAGTGTTATCGTATGATTCATATAAATGTTTAACGCTTCCATCATCAATTAACGACCTCATCACATCTTCATTAAATCCTATCATATCGTTATTTGTATTGCATGCATTAGCGACCATTTCATAGAACACAGGACCATAAGAGCTTTCTGGTTCAGCTGGCATACTTCCATAAGCGCCCATTGATAATTGAAGGGTTTCAAATCGAGGATTTTCGAAATTCACGATATAATTATCATTCTTCCTAAATAAAGCCCAAATGCTTTTAACGTTAATTGGTGTATAAGCTGCTGTGAAAGTTGCTGATGGTGAACCTTTACTGAACGAACCGTCCATAGGAATCCAGTCCATTACTTTAATTGGAAAACATAAAGCTTGTGATGTATAATGGTCAACTAATTCAGTGTAAATATTTGGATCGAGTGAAAATGCTTTAGGATGAATGAAGCAATCAATGAATTCAGCTGATTTCTTCGTTAATCTTTGTTCAACTGTTGAAACAGTAATTTCACCATTTGATTTAGAAACTGCTGTTATCATATTGAATGGTTCATTCCATGGAACAAATTTATTAGTTGGTGGGTCATAATTATCTTTTACCTGACTGATTAAAGAAGGATTATGAGCTAAAATATCTTCTACCGGCAGTGCTGTTACCTGGAATGCATCGCTACTAAATTTAACCTTTAACTGAATGTTGCCTGCAAAAGCAGGAATAAATCTAATAACTTCTAGAATAAGGAATTTACGACATGGAATCTTTATTTTAATGTCAAAATTAATTTCAGCTCCTGCAGCTAAAGGTCCTGAGATAATTTGACCTGTTCGAACTGTTCCAGAACGTTTCCATACATCTTTATGTCTCGTTTTTGAGAAAACATCAACTTTCTTTATTTGTTCTGTAGTCTGTGAATTAGAAATGATATATGCTTCTTCTCTTGCGTTATCCTGACTATAAATAACTCTTCCATTTGCTAATAACTGATAAGCGCTAATGGTGTAAATTGATTCATCAAAAACGCCAAAGAAACCTGGAGAATTAGTATTTGGAATTGATGAGCCAGTAATAGCATTATCCAGGATATATTTACTTTTATAGGTAGTTGTAAGGAATGTGTTATAAAGGTCTAGCATATTTTCACCTGGCGGAGATAAATTGAATGTGACCCAGTTATGATCCTTTGCGCTTCCTGGTTGTGATGGAATTTTTGCATCGATATATCTTCTATTAGTATCACCAATATTAATTGCATTATCGATTACATCAAAATATGAACGAATTTGATGGATATGTTCAGCTGGTGTAAATTCGTTAAGCTGTTCGTTTTGCATGTTTTATGTTAGATAAAAATATTTATTTAGTTTAATATTCTAACTCTTCTTCTTAGTTGAGGAATTTGTTTCTTTTGTTCATGAATTTCATGTTTTATGTTTTTAACAAACTCTTCATTAATTTTCGTTTCCTGCTCTTTTACTGGTGGGTCTGGATTTTTTTGATTCCGTTTGCTTTTCAAGGAAATTTACAAATTTAGCTATTAATTCTTGATTCGTTATCGAAAGTACATCGGGTTTGATTTCGGCACTCTGTGCCAAGATGGACTCTCTGAGTCCTCCTGGTTTAGGTTCTGGTTTAGATTCCGTTTCCTTTATCGTGGGCTTTGTCCTGACAACCTCGCTGTCTTCCGCTTTTGTTTCAAGTTTAGGTTTTATATCTATTTTATCAGTTTCTGAATTCGTTAATGGAACTCGTCTTTTTCTTACATAAATTTTTCCATCTTTACTTGTTGATACATAATATAATGGATGCTGAATTCCTCTTGCATCATTTAATATAATCGATTGTCTCTCAGATTTTGATAGGCTCATATTTAATTCAAATAAAATTTTTAAATTTTGAATTTTTTATCGGTAATCAAATGAGTCAGGGATTAGATATTGAAGCCATCAAAAAAGAAATTCGTGAGCAGATATTAACAGAACTAAAGACACCTAAAGCCGAAGAAAAACCAGTAAAACCAAAAAGGAAATTAAGTGAAAAGCAGTTAGCCGCATTAGCTGCAGGAAGAGAGAAGAACCCGAGAATGAAAGCAAAAAGAGAACGTGAGGCTAAAGAAAAAGCTGAAAAGGAAAAGGCTGAAGAGGCTCATTGAGCCTCATGAGGGTCGAAGACCCTTTTCCATTGAGAAGAAAGAATAAATGATATATTTTTGTTTGTAATAAATGTATAGACAAGTACCTTTAACAGTTGCTTTCAGTTCTGAAAACGAAAATGTCAAAATAAATGGAAATAGAATTACATTTAAATTACCTATTGACTGGATTGTGAATATAAATGAAAAATATATTGGTTTATCAAATATGTATATAACGCGAGGATTTAGAAAGGTTGAATTTGAACTCGAAGTTGTTGTTATAAACGAAACTCAAGAATTTAAGCAAACTATTCACATATATAAATATTTCAAAGACGACACAACATTATATGAATGCATGAATGATTTTAATGAAATTTTCGAAAAGAAATTTAACAAAAACGCTTTAGGATTAAATGTGTATCTTGATAAATTAGGTGAAGAAGGAATTCATCCGCAGATTATAGACTTTCATTATGAATTTATTGAACAAATAGATGATTCACATACATGCACATTTGTTATATACTCGCCGTTTAATGAAGTAGCAGAAAAGAGACAAAGTGATTTTAGGATAGGTTTTAAAATTTCTCAGTATAATGAAGACTTCATGAATGTATTTAATTATAAACCTGGAGAAGAACGAACAGTGTTATCCCCAATAATAACATATAATGTATGGGACAGAAAACAAGTCATTTTATATTCAAACATCGCTAAAGGGGTTGAAAATGAATTTATCGGTCATACTAGAGCATCACCATTAACAAATATTAAATATTATAAGTTATCAGGAAATAATAGAGAGTTTTGGATTGATATGTATTCTACACACGATCATAAATGCCCCGTTGTGTTACCTGAAGACAGAAAGGATGTTTTCTTCCTTGAGGCTCAGTTAATGAATTCAACTATCGCAACTTTATAAGAAAATTCACAAGGTTAGAAATGAGGTGAGATATCGGGTGAGATATACCCTAAGCCGCGTAGCGGCGAGATGGGCTCAAAGAGCCCTCTAAATTAATTTTATCATTTATGAAAAATTTAGTATATACAGAAATTAAAAAATTTTTGAGTTAATTTATTTTTAAGTTTATTTTTTTACTCTGGGTGTTAAAATCTATGATAAAAAAATAAATAAAAAATTTTAACGTTATTCTTCCGGTATCAGTCCTTTACTTACTATATATTCATTTAGGGCTTTATGAAAACAGTTATAAGTATATTCGAATGGATAAACTGCGCGTCTGTTTCCATCGTCATCAAATATGAAAAATTCAAAGAATGTATAACCAATGGTTTTAACGTATGTGACTTTATTTAAGTATGCATTAATGTAGAAAATACATCCTTCCTCATCACTCCAGAAATAATTTTTCATATTTGTTGAAATTGTTTTAGTTCCTCTACGTCCATAAGGAATGTACACAATAAATTTAACATCATAAGGTATTATAATATATTCAGGATTTCTGATTTCATCAATGGGTTCACTTCTGTTAAAATGCATGTTTCTTAGTTTTACTTGCGTTTTGAAAAGTTCATGGAAACGTTCAGGAAAAGTGTCGTAATAAATGTAATCTGACATATTTATATAAAAATAAAAAAAAATAAAATAAAAATAAATTAAGGTTATTTTTTAAAGTTAATTTTTAAAAAAATATTTTTTTATTTTTTGTAAATGTCAAAAATATGTTTTGTAAATTTACGATATCCGATTATTTTGTCAAAACATGAAAAGGGGGACTGAGGGGCGTAGACCCTTGGTACCCAATTTCATGATACTAACTTCTGAATGAATCTCCATCTTGGGTGGGAACCTGAGCAGTACAACCCATAATCCAATGTTTGGATTTTGCATTATACTCTAATTTTTCATAAGTCCTTTCATCACCAGGATATTTTTCATATCTGGAATTTGTCATTGCTTATATAAAAATGATTAAATTTGTGTCTTTTTTAATTTTTTACACAATATACTTAAAATACTATTTGCAACATTTTTTAGGGTTGTACAAACTGGCACAATTTTGCGGGCCGCGTGCCAGCTCCTGGCAGGCGGCCAAAATCAAAAAAGTGGCCAAAAATCGGGCCTCGTGGCGTGGAAAGGGTGGAGCCCGAAGGGCGACATCCTTTCCACGCCACTCGGCCTATGACCACAATTATATAATATGCTCATTATTATTTTTTCTTCTTTTCTCTTCTTTTTTTTTTTCTCTTTTCTTTCTTCTTTTTCCCTTTTCCCTTCCTTTTTTTCTAGTTTTGGAAAGGAAAAAGTAAAAAATTTAATAATTAATTTTATTACTATGAAAATATACTTTTTAGCTTATATTGTAAGCTGTGAGAGTTTTAAGTGATGGAAGATATAAATCAAATTTGAAATTCAACAAATCTTGTTATGATTAAGTTGAATATTGTACTCTAATTAAGAGTTTTCAGTTATGAACTCAGGTATTATATAATAAAAGTATAACTCAAGATAATAAAGAGGTTTTTAAAATGTAGATCTGAAAATCAAACTACGCATGTTTGATATGATTAAGTTGAATAATGTTATTTTATTAAATGGTTCAAATCTGTGAAATCGGCAATTACAAATTAAAGGCGTAGTTCAAAAAATTAAAGAGATTTTAAAAATTAATATCAGAAATTAAACTAAAAAAAGGATTTAGTTATTTCAGTAATTATCAGAAAAGGTTAAAAAGATAGGGTAAGTAATGAACTTGGAGTGAGATGTGAGAAAAACATATTAAATAATTAGATATCTGATGAGTAAGGTAGTAATGAGAGTTAAGATCTGGTTAGTAAGGTAGTAATGAGAGTTAAGATCTGTTTAGTAAAGGTAGTAATGAGAGTTAAGATCTGGTTAGTAAGGTAGTAATGAGAGTTAAGATCTGGTTAGTAAGGTAGTAATGAGAGTTAAGATCTGGTTAGTAAGGTAGTAATGAGAGTTAAGATCTGGTTAGTAAGGTAGTAATGAGAGTTAAGATCTGGTTAGTAAGGTAGTAATGAGAGTTAAGATCTGGTTAGTAAGGTAGTAATGAGAGTTAAGATCTGGTTAGTAAGGTAGTAATGAGAGTTAAGATCTGGTTAGTAAGGTAGTAATGAGAGATCTGCGGGCAGTAATGATACATCTATGAGTACATAACTAAAACATGAGTTCTATGAGCGAAATCTGAGAGCTAAAAGCCGAGAGATCTAAGGTAAGTAATGAGAGAAGAGAATTTGAAATTTTACAAAATACGTTTACTCATACAAAATAATTCGCATTCTTTTATAGAAATCTCAATGCCAATTAATACATAAAACAGATTTTAGCAATCAATTGCAAGATTTAGAAAGATTTTATTTATAATCTCAGCCAAATTAACAAATATTTTATTGATTTCGTAAAAAATAGCAATAAAACATAAAAATATGACATTCTATTTTTCCAAAAAAAATTCAAAAATCATTTTTTAACATGAAATTTATATTTTTTAATTTTTTTTTTAATTTTGAATTTTTTTTTTGGAATTTTCAACCATGTCAAAAGTCGGGATCTACAAATGTATTCTCTTTGACATAGGATAAAAACATCCTTTCTTATAATTTCATTGTAAAATAAAATTTTCTTAAATTTATTGAATCCAAACTCAACTTTGCAACATTTTATTATCATAAAAACTAAGAAACATCAGGTAAACTTCAATTTGGAGAGCTTAAAATCATATCTAAATTGAAAAATAAGGGGAAAAAATTGTAAAAAAAATCTCATTAGATGGGGCAAAAAGTGACTTTTTTAATGTGTTTTTTTAAAAAATCGTGCCAGCTGGCCAAAAAAGGTGTGCCAGCAGGCGTGCCAGTTTGTACAACCCTATTTGAAAATAAAAATTTTGAAGACAAGACACTATGATGACACCTAGCAATTTCTCAGAGACACCTATCGTTGGGAAAATTACATCCGTAGTTTAGCTCGAAATGAAGTTAAGTTTTTAGTATTTTTTTACAAAATTTGATTTTTCTCAAAAATTTGGAATTTTAGGAAACAAAGCTCTTCGTGGTAGTATGTATTATAGGTATATGTATCTATTTCTCGTTGAGCAATGTCACTGCCTCTTGAGGAAAAAAAGATATGTTACATTTACTATTTTTCATATAAATTCCGGCAATTTTAGGAGTGCTTGCAACAAACATAAGTATCTCAAATACTTGAAATATTGAGACATGGACTTGGGTACATATATATAACTATATATTCTATAGCACCACGAAGAGTTTTCTCCATTCCAAGCTTTCAATATGGAGTTATAATGAGATCTTAATTATACTTCTAAAAACAATAAAATATTTCAAAATTTTAAGTGATAATTAATTGCAATTCTCTTTTATTTAATAGACCTCATATCATTCTATAAATATATCATATTATCATTTCTTAATATCAAATATTTAATTCAGGGGGAGGCAGTTTATGTGCCCTAAAATTGAATGGGTCGGAGTACACCCTTAAAAGAAATGTAAACTTCAGAAAGTTACTTCCCTTGTCAATATTTTTAATGAGTCGTATCATGGCTATTTAAAAATTTGGCCTCACCCCTGTTATTGTTTTTGATTGTCAAGCAGCCAAGTTTATGACAAATTAGAAGCTTCAAGAAGAGCGACGTGATCTATTACTTATTGCTCATCAATTTTAAATAGAACGACGATTACCATCAGTATTTGAATATTATCAAAAATCAATTGAAGAAAGAACTTATAAAAGAATGCATCGCGTATATCGTATCACCATATGAATCAGATTCACAATTATCATATTTTGCAAGAACAAGATACTTTGATTGTGTTTTAACATATCTAACACCATTAGTATTATACAAACATTATGATTTCTTACAAGTTACTTGAAATAGATATCAATATTTCATAACTTTTCATAAATTAACACACAACAACTTTAGATCTCTTTGTATATTCTTTTGATGTAACTATTCACCATCAATTACAAATCTTTCTCTGAAACTATCTCTTAAACTCCTTTTATAATACGAAAATTCAACAAATGTAATTATTTCTTCTAGATCTAACTAAAAAAATACAGAATTTCCATACAAATTCTAATACATGTTTAACATTGCATTCAAAACATTCCTTTTTTGCTCTTTCATATGATCCAAAAACAGAACCATTAATTTTTTTCATTCAGAATCTCCATAAGAACACAACTTTTTTATAATCATACATTGCTGCAGATATACTTAAACATCTTGTTCAAGGTTAAATCAAGAAAACAAGTATCCATCGTAGGAAAGATCATTAGCCATGAAGATAGCACAATCAGCATTGATTACTTGGTAAATGATTGTACAGGCAGTATCAAAGTTAAGAATTTCATTTCAGATGATAATCCAGAGCCAATTCCAGATGGAACATACGTTTTTGTTGTTGGAAGAATTACACCTGCTATTGAAGATGGAATAACTTCATTCACAATCAAACCCATAACAGAATTCGATCAAATTCCTTATCATATGCTTTACTCATTGTTCGTACACTTACAGACAACAAGAGGAACACCCCCAGACTCCTCTTTCGCTCAAGCACCAAAGCATGTTGAAACATCCGCTCCAGCACCTCCTCCAATGCGATCAAGCGAAGACAGAGATGAAAAGATTAAGAACGATGTCATTGAATTCCTCAAAGAGAACAATTCAGATTGCGGAACTCCAGAAGAACAAATTATTCAACATTTCTCACACATATACTCCGCAGAAGAAGTTAAGAAAGCAGTTGAAACAGCAAACTTTAATGGTGAAATCTACTCTACAAGCGAAGATAATTGTTATAATCCTTGCTAAATTTTGAATAATTTTCTCTTGAAATCATTGTTACTGATACAATATTTAATGTTTGCTCTAATAAACCATCATTTTTCTGTAATAATTTTTTGAAATTAAAATATTTCAATCTCTTCTTATTTTCTAATGAATTTTTAATTAAGTAATATCTTTATATGGATTTCATAGCTCATTAATTGCATATTTTCTTCTAATTTTAAGTTTTTAGCTAATAATTTATTCAATATATTTTTAATAATCATGCTAGAACATATTGTAATAATTCACATGCGTTTTTATTTATAATACAGAATGCCCTCTCGCATAATAGCAAACTTATAGGAGTCGATACAGATCCAATACTTAACGAAGGGTTTGCAAAGTTCTTAATCAGCGCAAGCTTTCATGTGTTACTCCAATCTATGCTGTTCCACTTGTTATCGACAACGGCCACCTCTTCCTAACATCAGGTCTTCGTATCATCGTCCGCATCATCATTGATCACAAGTACGGCTGCTTTTCTGCTCGAACAACAATCCACTGATGGTCATCCGTCCGATTTGGTGGAGAGAAGAACATCTTCCCATACCAATGGAATGCTGAAATGTTATTCAACTCTTCATTGTTTTACGAACTTCCAGTTCTTTCTATCTACGACCGCGCTTAACTCTCTGGGTCCACGATTCCATATTATCATAAGGATATTGGTGATTCGCTCACCTATGAAGTCACACAGGAGGCTAAGCGACACATCAGTATTCTCAACTTGTTCTGCCCAATTCCTCTTGAAGGAGTTCCGACCATCTTGTAAATTCTTTAGTTCGTCGGTGTCTCTGACTTAAAGTACTAAGAATAAATTTAATAAATAATAAATATTTCTACATAACAAGTCATTTAGCCATTATTTCTACTTGAAACCAGCAACAAAAAATCGAGATATAGGAAGAACAATATGCATTTTATTTATTTACTAAAGAAATACAAAGAGAAGTAATGATATGATATGAATAATGATAAACAATTTCATATTTTGTGATAATATTCTTCTTTATCTCTAAATCTAAAATAGGATAATCAGTTTCACACAGATATGATGAAAAGTGAGAAAGATTATGAATAGAATATATATTTTTAACACTATTTGTTGTAACTGATCCATATGTTTTACCTATTATTCTGTCACAGAAAGAATCTTTAACTGTAGTTGAACCAGAATTTCTTCGATGAACAGATTGATAAAATTCTACTCCTGGTCCTTTGTTTCCAAGAAATGAACAGTTTTCAATAAGAACAGTTGATCCATCTGCATAGAATGTTCCCCATATAGAATATTTGTGTTCATTATTCAAAACATTACAAAAATTAAAATTATAGTTACCATAAATTAAATTTAAAATTAAATTATTTGACGTTGTGTTACAAAATGATGAATATGTTACGTTACTTAGACTTGTTGGTTGATGTAGAAATATTCCTGAGTCATAGTTTGCTTCACAGAAACTTGTGTTGATTGATTTAACTTCAATATTTCCATAATAAAGATGATTTGTATAATCAGTTTCTAAATTTCCGCATAAATAAAAAGAACTTTCATAAAGATAATTTTTATTATTTGATTTAGAAACTAAGTAAACATATGAATGATGTCCAGAGGGGTTTCTTTTTGAGTTATGTCCTTGAAAGTTTGTTTTTGATTTGTAGCCACATGTTCGGTATTGGACAATGGAACTATTACAGTTAAAGTAGAGAGATCCACCGCTTGTATCACTGCTGCAGTTATTAAATGAACAATCAGAATTAAGGAATTTATTGTTTGTATTCGTAAAATAAATGGCACTATTGGTCGTAATAGCGATAAATATGCTTTCAAATATGAAACACTCATTATTTGTCGATTTAGCTGTAACGTTTGTGCCACAAATAGGTTCTGAATTAGGTTGTGTATTGTAAAAGAGTTCCCAAACATCACCAGAAGATTGAGAAAGATTAAATACTTTCTCTTCCTAAAATGAATTGTAAACTTCAGAAAACCACTTCCCTCGTCAAAATTTTTAAGAAAAATTTTTTATCTCTTCCATCAAGGAATGAAAACGGGGAAAAAGATATTACCATAATTAATGAGTCGAATCCTTGCTGTCCAAAAGCGTGGCCTTACACCTTATGTTGCTTTTGATTGTCAATCACTTCCTTCCAAGTTAATTACAAATCAGAAGCATCAAGAAGAGTGACACGAAGCTTTACTTATTACTCAACAATTATAAAAAGAACTGCGATTACCATAAGCATTTGAATAATATCAAAAAACAGTTTCAATCATATCAGCAACAGTATATACATGAAAGAAAGAACTTATAAATGAATACATCGAGTACATAGTATCACCATATGAATCAGATTCACAATTATCATATCTTGCAAGAACAAGATACTTTGATTGTGTTTTAACATATCTAACACCATTAGTATTATACAAACATTATGATTTCTTACAAGTTACTTGAAATAGATATCAATATTTCATAACTTTTCATAAATTAACACCCAACAACTTTAGAACTCTTTGTATATTCTTTTGATGTAACTATTCACCATCAATTACAAATCTTTCTCTGAAACTATCTCTTAAACTCCTTTTATAATACGAAAATTCAACAAATGTAATTATTTCTGCTATATCATACCAAAAAAATACAGAATTTACAACAAATTCTAATACATGTTTAACATTGTATTCAAAACATTCTTTTATCCTCTTTCATATGATCCAATAACAGAACCATTAATTTTTTTCATTCAGAATCTCCATAAGAACACAACTTTTTTATAATCATACATTGCTGCAGATATACTTAAACATCTTGTTCAAGGTTAAATTGACACCATTACTCTTTGGACCATTTGAATTTACCAAATTCATCACCATCTGTGTTTCCTTACTTCAAAACAAACTATTCTCCAAAGATTGAAAGTTTCAAAGTCTTATAACCATCACAATCTAAGTATTTCAAGTTCACAAGACTCAATGACAAACATTTCCAGATATCATTCAATTCCACATCATATTTCCAATCTATCAAACTAATAGTTGATTGAAAAAAGACGAAATTAATTTTGATATTTGTTCAAATTACGAAATTAACAATTTATTTTTTTCTCATAACACATGATATATCCAATGATATATATCAATTCATCTCTTTAATTCATTCATAAGAAATCAAAATTTATTTCTATCTCAGAAACAGAGATTTTATTTATTATTTATTTTCTTATTAATTGATATTTTTTTTTCATAATTTCATAATTTAATGCAGATTGTAGAATCCATTTTAACTTCATGAATAATGATACGCACAGTATTCCAAACTTATCTTAGTCGATACAGTTCCAAAATTTAATGAAGCCATCTTTGAGTGCAAAGTTTATGACTTGAAGTTTGTTTGTGAATATTCTTCACCAGTACAAGCTTTCACGTATTGCATAGAAAGTTGTTGAAATTCCCAAGTGAGTGTGTTGTTACAATTGCCTGTCAATCATCATCATCAAACAAGACAACATTTGTGAAGCGTCTTTCCATTGCTCTTCGTGTTGTCTGTTACTATTCTATTGTTATTGAAATGAACTATTATTTTGTCGATCGCAAGAAGACACCAAAGGGCCCAGATGGCAAGAACGACTTCTAGTGCATTTGTGCCATCAATGTTTATGTTCTTGCTTATAATGTCCACACGTTACTTAAATGGGAAACAATTCTTCGCCGCAAGTACGATTTCAAGCAAGACAAGGGCATCAACATCGAAACAGAGAAACAGACACTTCCAGGCAACACATTCCTCATCCTTGAAGGCATTCACAGTTTGAATCCATAATTACTTGGTCCAACCGGTCGCGACATAGTCACTCCAATCTACGTTGCTCCACTTACACCACTTGTTGTCGACAATGACCACCACATCCTAACATCATATATTCGTCTCATCCGCCACATCATCATAGATCACAGGTACCTCGTCTATTCTGCTCGTAAAACAAACCACTGATGGACATCGGTCCGAGTTGGCGAAGAGAAGAACATTTTCCCATACCAAGGTGATGCAGAAATGTTCTTCAACTCTTCATTGCTTAAGGAACTTCCAGTTCTTTCTATCTACTGCCTCAATTTGCTCTCTGATGCCACAATTCCATATCATCGCTATCCACTCACCTCTGAAGTCACCCAGGAGGCTAAGCAACTCCTCAGAATGTTCTCCGGAAAACCTCTTGAAGGAGTTCCGCACATCTTGTGAATTTTCGAGTTCGTCTGTGTCTCTGACATAAAGTACTAAGAATAAGTTTAATAAACACCTAAACTCATAATAGTTTAATCAAAATAAATGCAAGCTATCAGTTTCGGATAAGAAAGAAAAATGCATCAACTCTGAAGAAGAAACGCGATACAACTAATATTGACGAGTTAAATTGCTGTATTCACAAACTTCATTGTATAACAAAAAAGAATAACTGTGAATATTTTTTTAACATTCAATTTTGATTCAAATTATAAGTTTTTAACGGAACAATTCACAAGTGAATATTGAAATTTGATTGATTGTCAAAAAATTTATTTATATTAAAACAATACAAAGAGAAATAATGAAATGATATGAATAATGATAAACAATTTCATATTTTGTGATAATATTCTTCTTTATCATTAAAACTAAAATAGGAAACTCTGCTTCACACAGATATGATGAAAAGTGTGAAAGATTATGAATAGAATATATATTTTGAACATTATTTGTTGTAACTGATATATGTTTTATCTATTATTCTGTCACAGAAAGAATCTTTAACTGTAATTGAACCAGAATATCTTGATAAAATTCTACTCCTGGTCCTTGTTTCCAAGAAATGAACAGTTTTCAATAAGAACAGTTGATCCAAATGCATAGAATGTTCCATAATCAGATTTTTTTGTTCATTATTCAAAACATTACAAAAATTAAAATTATAGTTACCATAAATTTAATTTAAAATTA